AGCGAGACAAGTCTGGAGGGATGGGTCGGCTTTCAAGTGTCGACATTCAATCTCCTGTGTGGGGCCATCTTTACACCTGTCTATAGAACATCTGTGAGGGGATGGCATACGACTAGGTGAGGCAAAACAATGGTGACCTTTAATTTCACACTGTCTTCTATCATCTGACAGCAAGCCATTGGGAATGCTAGAAAATGTCCACAGAGCCATACAAGTCTGCCTCAATAAGCACTTCTCGTAGCTGATATCAATCTTAAATGACAGTATTTTTTGTAACGGAAAATAAAACATAAAATTGGTTGATTGTAGAGAATAACAAATAAGAGATTAAATGATGCTAGTCGATAATATGCTAATTTATCCAATATACCATTCCCAATTATCTTTACCAAGACTTTTTCACGACAATAAGCTACAGAAAGAGTTGAGGGCTTCTTAAAAATAACGACTTTCTTTTTATCCTTTGGGTTACTCTGTCCCCTTTGGCGCATGTGTCTGATCTACACTGCCTCCTTTTAGACCAATGGATTTTTCAGTGTGTTGAGGTTGAAGGCGTTAAAGTGCCTCTCTTAAAAAAAGATGTGTGCCTGGCTCGTTGAGTGTGCCAATCCATAAAAACTTTATACTGTCAGATACCTGGCAACCCAGCAGGATCGTGCGATTGAAAAGTAAATCAATGCAAGCTAATTCACATTGCTCAAATCAGTGCTAGACACCCACAAGTGAAAATGAAAGTATCTTGAATTGGCTGTGGAGAGCAGGTGCTTTCCTGCTGTGCAAAGTACAGAAGTGTAAAGGTACTTTCAACAACTTGGAAGCAAACTACAACCGTGAAGTCTTGCTAGGCTCCATAGTCAATTCATTGGGAAAGATGTTTAAGATGAAACTGAAAGCACCAAGTGAATGTTCTGAGTATATGGGGGCACATTATTTTTAAGGATTGAGACACTAGAATTGGAAAACAAAAATGTGCTAGAAAAAAGGAAACACTCTTTTGGTCCAGAAAATCTGTCACCCATTCATTATCCAATAGTCTCTCTGGTTTCAGGCTTCAAAAAGGGACTATTTAATGACACTATTGATTAAACTTTCCAAAGCCCTGCATAACATATTGAAATTCTTTATTTAGGCGGTCTTCCCCTTTAAGAAGAGAATATGACCTCCTTGTTACAGCTGGGTAACTGCCACACTATTTGTCAATGAGGCAGACTTTAGCCATAACCACAATTTGTCACCATCTGACCATTGGTCGTGACTAGTCCCACCCTAATATTGGCTCATGTGTCACTCGGTTAATTACAAGTCTCAAATGCCCACAGTGTACACACTGACACAGTGGGGGTTTGGGATCAGGCTTGCGTGTTGCTCAAGGCTTCCCTTAGTCAGGTGTGTTTGAGCTATCTCTCTGCTCATCCTATCAGCCTGTCAATCACTTCCTCATCCTCTGCCAAGCCAAGCTAGGCTATTAAGGACTAGCACCGGGTGGCCTGTGATGGGAGGGCAGCTGCTTGCTCTAGCACGTGTGCGTGCTCTAGCTAGGCTCAGCACAGACCAAAGATCAAGTCCTGTAAGCTGCTTTTCTAAGCCAAGAAAAGCTTACAAGTCGTCACGTTGGTCAGAACAAATGGTCCCAGTTTTAGGCCCTGCAGCAGAGCCCGAGAATAGGCTGCACTCACTGAGCAGACAACAGAAAGACTAGTGAAGCAGTTTGGCCTTCTTCGTGGAGCATCAGAACAGACAGACAAAATGTAGACCAGGCTTATTCATGTTTGACTGCTCATCCAACCCCAAGGCTGGAACAGCAGTACTGTCTTTATAGCCCACCGGTTAAAAAGAATGGAAATACACAGAGGGCTTCAATCTCAACAGTTATGTACCCTGTGAAAAATGTGACACCTATTCAATGATATTCACTGCTGAGTTTTACTGCCTGGAGCAACTAAAGGTCTTACACAAGGCCTGTAACTGGAGTTACCTTCAAAAGGATATTTTAAAGAAATAAGACAAGTAAGCTCTCAAATCTGACTGTATACTGTATATGAGTGGCTCTTACACTTTACAGACTGAGAAAGAAACCCACAAACAAAAATAAAAACATTGACAGTTGAGAACACTCACAGCAATCCAAAGTTGACCGCTAATGAGGTGTGACTATTTTCATTTACTATTTCACGAACCACAGAGCTCAAATCCAAAGTGGGCAGAACTCATGGAGACTCCCTACAAGCCACCCAAGGTCAACCAGCTCCCAACTAATGGGCAAGACTGAACCTTTTTAATATTCCACAGGCACACACTAAAAGGTGCTTAAGCCACGATGTTTGCGAAACTCTCATGTAAAGAAATCAAGCGGAAAAGCTATTATTGGTTCCACTGCTTGGACACTGGGGAACAATTATTTGCTGTGTTTTTTAGAAGCATGGATTTGATAAACAATATTAAAACGAATAGGTCGCTGTAGAGGAGGCGGGTAAATGATAAGCGACAGTTCTTGTGGATTTATCGTAGGAAGTAAAAGCCTGTTGTATTGATTATCCATAAACAGAGTCATCCAAACTGGGAGTAGAAACTACTGGTTGAAAAACAACACACATAACCAAGAGCCATGGAATACCTTAGTATTTTACCGTGAAACTCTTTAATAAACAACGATTAACCAACATCTAACCTGAGCAGGGGGATTTGTTATCAACATATTTAAAAGAAAAAGGACTAACAGGTGGAATGCAGAGAGATCAAAGCGGTGCGACTGCATATAAGCGTTTTACTGTTAAATCTCACTGAGGCAGTGTCATTTAGTCGTGAAAGAAAAATAAAACAGAGCTGTTAGGAGGAACAGGATCAAAGCAGAAGAGCCACAGCGTTATCTAGTCCTGCTGCACAGTGTGACTGTCTGGAATGTGGGTTTGCCGCCCCACACTTCTTTCGGTCCCTTTTATCCACGTCCTGTGGTCTCTGCTGCCAATGAGAGTCTACACGCCACAGAGGTAATCAGGACCTGTGGTAGCCATGCAAGGCAAATCGTCTGGCCGGCCACAGATATACAAGGATGATAAGTATTTGTCAACCTGTACCATAAAAGGAGCTAAATCCAATTGACTTGGAAGACTGCTGAGATGGAACCAAAAGCTGCTGTTGTTGTCAAAGAATCATGCCATAAGCCTGACACACTTGGGTGAACAACTATGCCTGATACATAAAGTATAGCTTACAGTGGGGCATGTGCTTAAAGGGAATTGGATTAACTGCTGGCAAAAAAAAAGAGAGGGGGGGGATTATAAACGATTCTGACTTTAAGTGTGCTTCTAAAAAGATGGATTACCATTTCAATATTTGCCCTCTTTCTTTGCTAATGGAATTTTGAATTAGTCTTATACTGTTCAACTACTAAGCAAGGAACCTCACTGTGTTGAGCTGAAATGAAGACAAGAGGGGGGGAAAACTGGGTGTCCGTATCTGGATTTGGAACAATGGTGTGGTACAGGACGGCTTGTCCCCGGCTCACTCTGTTCTACTGTAGCTCTCTCTCTCTCTTTCTGAGTATGCAAGGACCAGCAAGGTGGAGCCAGGAAAGGAAGGAGGGAGAGGATGCAACTTTCAAGGGATGTTGAACTCATGACAGGAGTACAAATACACGTACTTATGCAGTCAAATGCAAAAACACTGGGTGCATCACTGTTTTCTACATCTACTTGTATGATGCTGTGAGTTTTAATGCACTTATTAATTATCCCTCTAGTGGATCCTAACTCTACCGTAATTCAGTGCTGAACCAAGCCAGCAGTGATCCCTTCTGTTCCACCATCTACAGGCTTTACACTAGTCTCAGATTGGCAGAGATGACTATAGCCCATACATGGCCAGAACAGGCCATACTACAAAGTTCCTGGCAGCGTAAATGTGGAAGCAGTGACGAAAACAGCCTTCGCACTGTGTTGTAGGAACAAACATCTGAGCTGGCTCTTTAAAAAAAAAATGTTTTTGTGTGGGTGGAACAATGTAGATAGAGCAACCCCGCATGGGTGCCACAATCTGCCAAGGCCAGTTTACCGACCGACTCGCCTTGTGTGGCATCGCGTATGAGCACTGAGATGACACATCAACTCTTGTCTATATTTAACTCACTGGACGCTTCTCTTTCCAATGTTCCCATCCTTTTAGAAGAGTCTGCCAGGGAGATTGGTGAAAAAACAGGCCGAGGTGATGTGTAATTACGCTGAATGGATCCCGCCTCCCACATCCCTTCATTGTACCCACACCCTCGGAGATAATGACATTTTTCTATTTACAATAAATCCTGCCAGTCTAGCCGCTCTTATTTATGGTGTCAAAGAAAAAAACCTTAAAAGCTTGACCCTTAAAGCCTGCAGAGTCACGGAACGTAAACACCAGCAAGCATCCTATGTGGGTGGTGAACTCAATCTGATAAGGGCTTCTAAGAAACCAGTGTTCGCTCTCTTGAAAAGACGGTGTGGTAACCACCACAATCCACGCTCTGCTTGAATACCCCACATATCTTTTGCTGTAGATACTATCTTGAATGCAGAAATATAACTCAGAATAGAACTGTGATTGGGCTGGAAAGCTACTGAAAGGACTCCTTGTTTGGCTGACATTGTTGGCACTTCCACGTACGAATTAAAAAATGTATTTTCATCAAAACAAGTTCTGAACTTTTGACTTCTGCCTGCATGCAACCTTCCGTGTTCCTGTAACTCGAAGCCCTTAGCCCGTCAACCAAACTGTTGCATAACTTTTAAGAGGTGTGTGTATGAGAGGGGGGGGGGGACCTTGCAGGGAGAATTTCTTTAACTGAACACAACTAAATCTCCCCTTACTTCTGATTGAAGAGGAAGTGATTTTTTTAAGATGTCAAAAAGTTGGAAGGGCAAAATGAAAGTAGGACATGATGGACTCTCTCACATGTCAGGGCAGGGTGTGTTCAGGTGTGACCTATCATTGTAAAGGTTGAAATGTTTGGAAATGTAATGCCAACTCACCTATTCTTCTCCAGCTCATTGTGTGTGGACCTGAGGAGACAGAAAACAGAATTTAAATAAAGAGCACAGGTGGATTTTTGCCTGCTCAACATGCAAAGCACAACCCTACAGTATCTGTTCCTCGTGGCAATGCACTCCGTTCAAGGAAATAAAGCAAAAAAATAGAGATAATAACTAAATGAGCTAGACAACCAGGAGCCAAAATTAGCACAATGAAATAAGCAGTGGAATTTGACTCATGAATGTTTTATTGAGTCCCAAAAGAGATCAACTCTAGGCCCATTCCATTGTAGCCTTTACACCAACAGACGTAACTGTGACAGGCGGGCCCTCGCTGTGGCATTATACGGCCTCTTCCTCAATAATGCACGGCAAAGCTCTGTGGGAGTGTGACACGGCAGCCACTACTGTGCATGTAGGTGCGTGCAAGCATGTGCTGCTGGGCAAGTACTAGCATGCACCCACACACACATGCGCACACACACAGCAGTGAGGGTTCAGTGCTCTGTTAATAATGTAAAGTGAATCAGCTGTTTCCTAAGAGTCTCTTTGTGTGGCAACATACTGAAGCCCTCCTCCTGATGCTTAAATGGCCAAGTTCCCATCCTACACACTGCACTCCACCTCGCCTAAAGGGGGGCAGGTTTTAGGTGGGGGTGGGGTTATGGGCTCTCCTGAGTCATGTACGCAGCACTCCTCTACATTCCGGGTTATCAATACTGCAATACGCTTTCCGCTTATATTTTCCTTTTAATACTGAGCTGACAAAACCACTGTCTTTTTTATACGGAAACAGGAAATATGGAGAAAACAGGAGATAATAAGAGAAGAGGCATAAGACAGATGTACCCCTTTAAGGCGATAGTTCACTGTGTAAAAACTAGCACTGCCTCAGCGAATTATTTACACTAATAAAAAAACACTGCATGTTTCTAATTCATTTCATGTAGTTGGGTATGCAAGACTGGATGTTAAGTCAACTGTGGAGGTATATTTGATTCAACATGACAAAGTATGGCCAGTTGAGTGGATGCTATCACAGCAAAACACAGGGCTCACATGTAAGCTGGCCCCGGCCACTTTCTGGCACTTTCATGCCAACACACACATGCTTGAGTCTTGACAGCTTACATATTCTATAACCTAGTAATCGTGCATGACTGCGCTCTGCATCGGCTAACCTGTCAAACATAGAAATCACAAAACTGCTCTAAAATCAGCTTGCTCTCTTATGCTTGGCCACTACTACCCTCATAAATGTTATCGAAGAAAGAGTTTCAAAATGATTTCTATGTAGGGAAAATTATTAGTCACAGCCTTGTGTTCGGTGAAGGCTTTTTACGCGAATATGTAATTACTTTTTAATGGCAGAGAGTCCACTGCTTTCTCTAACTGTGAGTCAGAGCGATAGTTTCGCTAACAGAAGATGAATACTTCGGAGTCTATAATTTGCATCATCAGCTGTCACCGTGCTCACACTGGGCCTGTGTTGCTTGGAAACCATCATCATGGTTTGTAATCTCCTCCAAAACTCAAAGCATTTCACCAGAATCTAATTCATTGTAGAGTGCAATTGTATCATGTTTTTGGGCTGATTACCACTCTTTAAGAAGGAAGGGAAAATTTATTTATGGGGACTGTTACTATTGTGGCCGCATCAAGCATCGTCCTTAGCAACACAATTGATTCAGACAGTGAAGAAGACCGTTTTGCGAAAGCCTCAATTATTTCTCCCATAGGTAATAACTTTAGAATCAGAATCAGAATACCTTTATTAGTCCCACAGAGGGGAAATTTGCTAAATGGGAAGTCTATCTGAGGGCAATGCTGGTGTCAATTACATTGTCTGTTAATCTGCAAAGTAGATACGCCTTAGGTCAGCCAGGCACACCACATCTTATGGCCTCTCATTTGGAGAGATCAATCTCAGACAGCTTGAATTCCCATTGGCTTTTATCATCACAAACCACTTCCCTGTCTTCTGAATCAGATACAGTATCTCTGTGTCTGGAGCTCAACAACAATGCAATACAGATTATAAAATGTCTCAAAGCCACACTGCAGCATACCTCTTCTGTACGCGTATATGTGTGTGTCTGTGCGCGAGTATATGCACACAGAGAGTGGGTCAATGAGATAAAGCGACCCTGCTATAAACGGTAGGCAGGAGAGGACAGAGTCAGATAAGTCCATCACTTTAAGCCTCCACACGCTACTGAGAAGGTAGCTACTGTACTGGAGCAGCAGGTCAAACCAAATGTACTGTACAGTTAATTTAATCATTATGTTATCATATTTCAAAGAAATTAATTTCAGAATGACATGGCAGTAACTGAACAAGGAATGAAAAAGAAGATTTATATGAATGAGGTTTAGATAATGTATGATCTCATTTAGGCGCACCATTGGTCGAGGATCTCTTATTATCACTCAGAGCGCACGCCACGCCGCACACGTAATGTAAATGTAAGTAGATCTTGCTAAAAAAACTCTGGCTTATCTGGAAATTGTAATAAGGAATTGCAAGGTGAGGAAATTTTTCACAACTGTAACAACACTTCTCATTTTCAGCTTGTACTGTATAAATAGGACTTTCGTGGACGACAAATAACGCAGACAGGGGCCCCATCAGTGACCCTTACAGCACTGGGGATATACAAATAATGTTATTTTGTTGGTACGCAAGATGTGCTATTCCAGTGGGAATGATACAAAAAAACGGTAACACAACACAAGGCTGAGAAATGGTGTTAAATGCTAAATGGTGTTACCTCACTGAGTGAGTTGTGAATGTTTCTCTGTAGGGAACATCATTCCTGCAAAGGCTTCTGAATGTCTGTACTGACTTCCTGTTGCAGGCCATTTAAGAAGATCTCCTTTTCCCCATGCTTTTTGGTGCCATTTTCTCTCGTGTTTATGAGAATCCTTCTTACCATGCAACTCATTCTCCTTTAGAGTTGTTCACCTTATATAGGCTATATTGAGGGTAAAGATGCTTTGTGAAAAGCTTATAGCTCTCAGAGGAATTTATTTTGCATTCAAGATGATTTTGCTTCAAAACATCATTATTCTGTAGAATTTCCAAATTAGGAGCTACTTCTTGGAGGCTTTATGAAAACGGCCTATATCTGATGATGACTGTTGCCATGCAGAACTAGGCTGCGTTCTGCGCTCATGATGAGTAATGCGCAGTTCCTGTTTGTGGCCCGCTCTTACATTAATATTAAAAGGCTCACAGAGAGACATAGGGGGCATGGAGCTTGCGTTTGATGTATGACTGTCAATGGACAGATTAATGTAAGCAGCCTAGCACTAAGAAAAAACACAATACTATTGAGTCTTAACCTTTTGTTTCGCCTGCTTCTCCTAATCCTAAGTGAAAGTAACCATATCCATTGAGAGTATTGTGCTTGAAAAGAGCTCAGGTTGATAATGTGATTATAAGACGGTGTTACATACGGCTACACAACAGAATAGACCATTACAAATATGCTCCAATACCCGTGAACAGCTTGATGTTGTGAATGATTGATGATGCATACAAAAGAGGATAACATAAATGGTGCAAACATGCACTTCTTGATAGGATAAAGGTGTAAATAATGGTGAAACTGCAGAAACTGATTGACATCATTAATCCTGAAAAAGGCTCTACGTATTGACCTTTGGAGGTCTGCAAACAACACCAGCCATAAATAGCCTTTTCCCCTTAGGGCAGAAGGCAAAACTCCCCTCTCTTCTCACAGTGTAGAACACATATCCCATAGGATAAAATGAGCATGACTACCACCAAAACGTAAAATAATAGCTGAAATACAATAAAGCAATAGCCTCTGTGTTTTTAAACCATGTGTGAGACGAGTGCCAAAGATTAAATATGACTTTCTTTTCGTTTTTAAGCTGTCACTTTCACCGCGGTCCCTAACCCTAGCACCACTGCAGTCGGTTTGACAATCAGCTGATGAAAAGCTAGCAGAGCCGTTGATGCTTCCCCAAGCCAGTTAAACAACATTGTACACGGTCATGTGTGCACCTTTATATTAAACTAAACACGTTTCACAAGTTTGAAAAAAATCCATGCTAACTTTTTTATTCAAAAATAGTATTTTCTGGAGCGTGACAGCCCGATTGTTTACCAAACGTTGCGATAAGGGTATTGGCAGCGAGTGTATCATCACATGCTGCCTGTAACACTTCATAGTACGTCACATAAATTATGTATAAGTAAGTCAAATATATGCAGTGTTATCAATGCCCACAATTGACCAGGATTCCCATTACGAAAGAGAGAAGTTTCTTACCTATTGTGGTTATTGCTAAACTTCTTGTTTCGAAATTTCCTTTGCCTCTGGTAGTTTGTGTCCTCATTTGATGGAAATGTCGAAGCATATCCGTGTTCACACTCTGTTGAAAATAAATGGGTGGTTAACAGGGTGAGTTTGACTCTTTTTCTCGACCATACACGTGCAACAATCCTTCAGAACTTAATGGGAACACGTTTGTATTGACATCTGCTTATTCTTTAAGTGTTTAGTGTACAAGTAAAGACGTAAAGTAGTTCAAAACCACTGAACATAGCAACATAACAACACAACACATTTGAACATTTACCTCTATCTCTCCTCTCTATATATTCGGCAGCTTCCAATAACCGTTGAATATTTATTAATTGGATAGCAGTCATTCTCTCCTGGCTGCCGTTGACGTTAGCTCTTCAGGTTAACGTAACGTTAGCTTCGCAAATAGCACCAACAGCAGATTGCTTTTACACCCAGGGAAGACAGTGCATCGGTAATTACTACACTGAGTGTTATTTTTTTTTTAAACACGTCGTGTTGTATTATCTTTTTCTGTGTCTTCGCTGGCTCATCAGCAGCTTTGTCGAAAGAAGAGAGGGGGGGAAATCCAGTGTTTCCCAGCTGGGAAGCTACAACCAATCCTTGGTTGGAAAATGTCAAAACCAGTGTATCAAAGTATTAAAAGTCTCTAGGAAACACGGTATTAAATTGTTACAAAAACGGATATAAAGTATATAAAATGTCCCCGAGGGAGCCCAAAGCCACCAAAGTGCTTGCTTCTGCTCGTTTCCTCTCCTCTCCTGTTTGTTTACCTAGCTGCACAGCTGAGAGGCGGGGACCGTGCTGAGGGAGGCCGGTCCACCGCAATGCATGCCGGGAAATTGAGTCTGAAAAACGTGCACAATATTCATCATTGACACATTTTAGCATTCATTTACTGCTATGTGTCAAGTAAAAACAACGCCCTTTATTCATTTATAGTTTTACTGTAACTGTGGTGGTCAGACTAAATATTCTGAGGGACAGTGCTACACTCCACAGGTCACCAGCATGTGGTTATTTTATTCCTGCACAGGGTATCGGGGATGTTTCTGTCAGTGACGACAAGAAGAACACATCTTTTTTATTTAGTTTATATTCAATTATAATTTATTCTAAATTCTAAATGTTCTAAATCAAAAGGCTTGTGATAAATAGCCCATGGCCACATATGGTAAAACACCCAACAACAAAGGATGTAATTTATGCCATCAATCATTCATTGTTTGATTAAAGCGGCTGTTTGATGTGTTAATGACTAAACACAAATAGCCTATTCATTTTGTGTCATTTATTCCTCTCATGCCTGCATTCTTCACCTCCTCTCTCCTGCGAAAAAAGCCCTACAAATCCCATCATCCAACGGGGCCATGGGGGTGTTCTTGCCGGCTGAAGCCGGGCCCAGCAACACATGACGTCGATACCTACCGGGCATCTGATTGGCGGACGGCTTTGACAGGCGTCGAGGGTTGAACTCGCACCTGACCAACCGCGGAGAACCTTTGCGCCATGTGGAAACCAGTGCCACACGCCCCCAAATAGCAGGAAGCAAACAACCGAGAGAAAAGAGCTGTGCCGCTGAGATCTGCTCCAGTAACATTCCCACGATAGCTTATAATCGTAGGATATAATACTAAATAGTTACATGCAACCCGCATCAGCCAGTTTGCTCGGCTTTTTTGCACAAAAGGATAGGACGCACAAGGAAATGTATCTTTTCCCATCTTTCTTTCATCATGACTTGTTAAAAGGAAACGAGGACATCATGAATAATTAATTTTTAAAAATTCGTTTTTAATATTACATGTATTACAAATGCCCTGACATTGAATTATACATAAGGCAAGGAAGTATTTGCAAATTGAGAGGGCAATTGCAATCAACCTTATATCGAGCTACCTTAATGGGCTAGAAGTTATAAACATAACATTATACGGACAGGCGACACACTTTCTATGTTTCTATGTCTAATTCACTATTCAGTTGTGTACTAAAATTGCGTTATCTATGAAGTTGAGTTTTTTTTCGATCAAGTCTGCGGGGGCACAATGACATCATCCTTAACTGAGTTGGAGGGCGCTGCAATGTGGTCAGATTGATCATATCGGAGTGGTAGTCAGCATGCACAACCAATCATTGTGTCATATTGCTTTATCTATGCTGTAGGGAGAAATAACACATTTCTGGGTTGAGACAGAGTTGTGCAGGCTCAACGGGATGCAAAGTGCCCAACATGCAGAGGATGCAGATACAAACAGTACAGAAGACACTAAAAGTATGTTTATACTCCTATAAATGCAAACGGTATATTAGTACATGAATCATATTAGTCTGGTGCATGCTCTGCTTATAGCAGGCAGTGGTGCTTAGTTGAATGAACTCAGCCCTTTGTTGTCTGAGTCTTTTGACAATGAAGTCTTGTTTTCCTGAAATGCAAAGGCAAATGACAAGGATCACAACGCAGCACATATAAACTCACTTCCGTCCTTCCTGTCGGCGCTCTCAAGAAACCTAGCAGCCTCCAGCAAAACTTGGACGTTTTTCAGAAAAGTGTTGATCTGCTTCATGTGGGAGTCTTTGGAGTTGAAGACGTCATTGAAAGGGCAATTAGACATCTCAAAATCTTGCTGATCCAATAGAGACGCCTCGGAATCAAAAAAGAACTCCTCACTCTTCAAACTTCCTCTTTGCATCTCACTTTTGGCCATTTTCCCCTCTTTTATTTGTCTGGCTTCTGTTCTGGCGACGTGCTGAGCGCAAAACACAGTGAGGCAGCTACCAGTGGATGCTGCTCTTGTCAGATGGTTCCTCTTTTCTTTTCTTGTTTATGAATGCGGGGTGTTAAATGTGGAGCAGTGGCCAATGTCAGTAGATGGTGGTGCATGGGAACACGAGAGCCGGCCCCCTCGGTCTGAGGAGTCTGCATGGTCCTTGTGCCCGTCAGTGGAGCTCTTTCTGTTATATGCAGTAAATAAGAAAACAAATTAATATGCACATTGACATACCAACGAGATATTATAAATACAAAATAAATCCTTATACACAATCTGGTCCTAAAATGTAATGATGGTGTTATAGCAGAAGTAATTGTGATATAAGAAAGCAATGCATATGAAACAGCAACATAATATTTGTGGTGTTACTATACTGTTACTGTACTGATATTGTACTTATAGTAAGTAACTGATGATAAAATCTACATTAGTAAATCCGAAATGATGCTCAAAAGTAGATTTTGATGTAAGGAAAACTGCTCAAAAGCTGTATTAAAACGTTATAGATATTACTCACAATCATTGTGTTGGATGTTTTATTGATATAGTACAATAGGTTATATTATAATCAAACCATTTTTTCCTTGAAGTAGGCCTATTTGGAGCAAGGACCCAGTAATAGAAAGTGAAAGTAGCAATATAGGGTGTGACCTGCATGACTTTAGTAGCATGAGTGGACACAATTCAGACCAGATTGTTTTGAAGGCAAAACATTAGAAGTTACATTTGGTAGTAGAGCCACCAACACTCTTTATTGCAGAAAGAGAAATTACTGAAAGAGGCTCAACTCATAACCTGTTTACAATTATTATGAAGCAGGCATCTTTACAAATCAAACCTAAATCATCATGTAGTAATCAGTATTTATTTATACAGTTTAAGAGTGCAATTCATTCATACACCCCTGTCCATTTAAATATGGACAGTTCAAGGGCAGTTACTGTAATTAGGCTACATTACTTATTAATAATTAAATTGGAAGCGACATCTTCGCTCACAAAGCCAAACATAATGCAAGTGCAACAACACTAGATTCTGGCACACATTATGTTAAGGGTTGTAAACACCACTCCCCTATTTCTCCAAGCACCCAGTCTTGGGTCAGTCTTGCCGTAGGTGTTACTTTAGCAACCATAATATATTTCCGGCCATCACAAAACTATGGGAGTCAAAGCAGAGCAAACAGAGGAGGAAAACACATTTTTTAGTTTAAACCTAAATCAACAATGTGCTGTAAAGCCTCACTCCAGCCTGCTCACTTAAGTTAAATATTGAAAAAACAAGCCTTCAAGTTACTGACATTTTACTAGTTACCGTACAGTAGTAGAAATAGATGCAGTAAAGCGGCTAGAGTATCAGCAAATATAGTTGACATAGAGTGTTTGCTTTTTTGATTATCTTTAGACTGAAAGACATCAAACCCAAGATAGGTTTAAAAAAAAAGAAATACACAACAAAAACATAAATGTACTGTAGTGAGTGAGGGAACTTCAATACCTATGAGTAGAATAACACTGTAGTGAGTATATACATGCTCCATTATGTGACAGGAATGGCAACTGAAAGATAGGTCCTTAGCCTTGATCTTGTGCCATTCTCAGTAGGCCTTTAGCTGAGCTGTTTTTACACTGCTGCAGAGTCCGTTTTGAACCGGAACATGTCGAGGCAGAGGCCCCGTACTCAGCTCAGATACCCCCCTCTGCCACTTCAAAGAGCCAACAGCAGCCCATGACTGTTTGATGTAAAGTTCACAGAGACAGAAACTTTCAAGTCCAACGCACAAGGGGATCTCTGAAGGTCCCTGCCGACCCTGCCCCACCTCTCCACCCTCGGTGAGGGGTAGCTGCAGAGGAAGGAAACCTATTTGAGTGCGGTCCTGTTTTGAGTTTTAAAGGTGCCCCTGACAGTACACACACAACATTAGTGGACAAAAGTGGACAAAAAGTGCTCCCCCCATCTAATTTAGGGTTTTAGGCCAGCTTCCCCATTTGATTTACTGGTGCATCTTTGTAGGCTGTGTTTTTTAGATTGCCTTTTCCCCCTGTAGTGCATTGCTTCAGGGCACTTTTTCCCTGAATGCCCAGGCATTTAATGCAACAGCAGTGATTAAAAGCTCAGCATGACAAGTTGTTTAGGTTTCATCCTTACTTTTTTATTCACAGTAAGCATCACACAGGGTCACAAGCCCACCACGCCACCAGTCAGGTCACATGCTGCAGAGGGGGAGAATAGAACAATGTTAAAAAGCAGGAGGGAGTAATGTGCCCCATGCACAGTATGAAGGAGACTTAATAGAGAGTAGAGCTTAGGGCTATATATGTCCTACAGACACATTGTTTGAGGCCTTACCCTACACTGTTGATTCAAACCACTCCTCTTCACGCTGTCTTTCCCATTAAAGGAATTAAAAGGCAAAACCCATGTCAAAACAAGGGACACAACCTTAGTCATAAAGTCATTGGGAACAAGCTTTGGCTTCCAGAGGAGAAACAGTGAAAAAGGTAAACACATTTGTAATCATCCCAAGGGGAAACCCTCATCTGTATCTTAACAGGGGTAGATTCATGTCAAAACAAATGATTATGTCTCCCAAATGGAAATGAAATGATGTGCTGCAACAAAGATTGGCCATTAACTGTAATGACCTTTGATCATCAGTACTTATCAGGGATACAACTTTTTTAATTACAGGTTACATTTCTTTTGAAAGAAAACAGTGAAACATTTCCCACAGATTACCAGAGTCTAAAGTGACCAATCAAATGACAAGTATCTGATGCTATTATAAGGTCAACATGTTCAGTTGTCTAAAGCTTTCATTTGTGACCACACTTGTGGCCTTTGTGGAAATACTGGAACTGTTAGCATGTTAACCCACTAAACTAAGCTGGTGAAACAGTGTACCTGCTTAATCAACAGGTTAGCATTGACTGTGAGGATGTTAGCATGGTAACATGCTAACATCCTCACAGCTCTGATTTGACTGAGCAAAGCCTCCAGAGCTGCTGCA